CGCGGTAGTAAGTAAAGTGCGTAAATCGTTCGTTGAGAATTATAGCGTGTGTTTAAGTGACTGTGGACATTAAGTGTATTGCAAAATTGTATTGAGAAAGAATAAACTAGTTTTATTTAAGAAAGGGCTTGTATCGCTGAAGTTTCTCGGGAAGAATTTCTATGGAAAATTAACAAACGAACAGAGACCTAACACCAACATAAAGATCAACTACCTAAACTTCTGCCCCCCAGTGGCATAGCGATATGTCTACGGACTTACAACGCTTGAATCCGGGTTTCGATACCCGTGATGGGCAGATCACAGATAGCCCATTGTGTTGCTTTCTGCTTAAGTTCAAACAAACCTAAACTTCTATGTATGAACCTTGAAATATTTAAGCTTACTGAATAGATCGAATATATTTTTTTAACATTTATATATGATATTTACATTATTATTTCTAGTGTTTAAAGTGTTCAGTTTACTTTAGCAACCATAAAAACATTAAGTTATTGAGTAGTTAAATATTATTGTCGAAACACAAAAACTCTACAAAAAATAATAATAAATAAAGTCAAATAAGTTAAACTGCAAGTATTTTATTGACAGTGTTTTGTCGCTATTAAAATATACTTATTGGATTGGTTTCTTTTTTATCTTTTAACTAATTATATTTTACTTCAAGAGTTAGCCGTATATTTACATGAATTTATTTTGATTGATTGAAATTTGGTTTATAACCTAGAAGTTTTGAGACTAGTAACATCAATTATTATCAAGAAACTCACCGGAAGCGACACCTGGTGTAAAAAATACAATAGAGTTAAAAGTAGACAACGTAAGATCGGATGTTACCTGTATTGATGAGTGTACGACTAGTGTTAGTAATAGTCGAGTACCATTGTTAGTTGTACTAGATGTTTTTTAACTGCTTTATAAGTAAATGTTAGTAAATTAACTATTGTTGTTATAGTTTATTTAAAAATTAAACCTAACTTGTGCGTAAAAAGTGCATTGGATGGGGAAATCTTGCGATAAAATTTGTGCATTTACAACAAGTAATATAGCTTTCATTAATTAACGTAGTAATTATAATAATTTAGCCTTTTTAAATTTAGGTCACGTATGTTAGGCCTAAAAAATTAAGTTTTGCCAAGTAAACTAATATAGTCATAGTTACATGTTTCTACTTTAGTACTTATTTAAGTATGGTAGAACTAGAAGCACTTCTATTTTTAAAGTAGGCTTGCACAAATACAATAGTACAAGATCTCTGAGACTCAGTATCGCAAAAATGTGTATATCACAATTGAAAGTGAAAGACTGTGTAAATTATGATCAATTGCCATCTCTACCCTATCTTAAGAAGTTGAAGCAGTCATTTAGCGAAATTAGTGTAATGTTTAAAAAAAAAGTTCCACGTGTGATATATGACAAGAAGCATTACACTTTTTGAATTTTTTAAAGGTGTTAGAAAAATTGAATATAAATATTATGTAGTTATTTAAATTTTTTATTACTTTGAATTTTATCTATTTGTGAAAAGATAGGACGTTAAGAATCTTATGTTCACATTAACTTCAAAAACATGATTTGAAGATAATATTGGTTCTTTAAGATTCTAAAAAAAAACCTCATTATGAAAGAAGAGAACATGGCAAAAGTAGATATCTTGTTTAGTAGTGTTGTTGTTGATGTGGACAAAGAAGATTTCCACACTGACTAATTATTTTAGGAGCATGAATAAATTTTATGTATGTGTCCTCTCATCCTGTTCTCTTCATAATATAGCACAAAGAAATCAGAAGCCTTTATCCTATCAGTCACCTGGATAACATTGTAAACTTCAATTAGATCACCTCTTATCTTGTATTTTTTTCGAGAGAAAAGCAATGTTACTTGTTCACATAAAATAAACCTTGCATCTTTGGAATCTTCTAGTTGGTTCACTTATTAAATATTGGATATTAACATGATGGAAAAGTTACATAAATGGGTTATTGCAGTAGAATAATTCTAAAGTTAAATAATTTAAGGTGTGAGGAATGATTTAAAGTTCTTAATATGTTTTCTCTGGAGCATAGAAGAATTATGGAGGTAGTGATACAGATGTTTAAAGATCACAATTTTCATGTGAATTATCAAAGTGGTAAACTGAATAGACTTAAAATACAAGCTTAAATATTATGGTTAATAGATTTAAGCTTTGGAAGCCTACATATAGATTTTTTTAGAAAGAAATTTTGTTTGGTTAGATAATGAACTTGTAGAACAGTGTGGAATGTGATGTTATTGTTACTTTGAATTATATTAAGATTCTAATGGATGGATATGTGGATGTGATGTAAGTTGGTTTCTAACAAAATAGATGATTTTTCTTGATAAGGGGTGGCCTTGATGGATCAAATGACCTTCATTTTGCTACTTTTGTATTGTAAAGGGATATTTGTATAATTGAAAAATTTTACTAATAGTTTGTTGGTTTCTCAAAGTGGAATTTTATTCTCAGCTTAAAGTATTAAATTGATCATAGTTGGTATTATCTGTAGTAATACGGCTAGGTTTGTTTTACCAAATAAATACTTCACTACAATGAGTACCTTTGTATGTGATAATAATTTGAGAAGAATCTCATTAGTGGAGGCTTTATAATAATGTTTTTTTAATAAACTGTTAGCCCTGTCTCACTTGATGGCATAGAATGAAGGAAATCTTTATCTCTTTCTCAGAATTATAATGTTTTCAAAACTGATTTTATAATCGTCAAATTTCTCCAATACTAGGGAAAAATGGTAGTGAAACTATACAAAAAAGCTTAAAAAAATTTTCAATTTTGTTTAATTTTTCTTTTTGTGGTTGCTGGATTCATATTTAGAAAACAAGTCTTAACGTGAGTAAAACTTAAATTAACTTTTTTTTTTATATGTGTCACACATATATAACAAAGTTAAAATAGAGAGATAAAAGAGAGATTGTTGTGTTCTGGACATGAAATTATTGCCAAGGAATAGTGCAATGTATGCAGGACTTCTCAATTTGTGATTTTATACTGAAAAGTAGTTGAGAGATTTAGTAACTTAACTGCAACTTCACAAGGAAGATAACTGCTAGATTTGGTAGTTTTTTAGGGTTCTAAGTAGCCATTGGCAAGTTCTTGTACTGGTTCTTTAGTAAATAACAAAAGCAAAATGTGCAAGCTAACCTGTGCAATCAAAATATTTCAGTTTATTAAAGTGCTTTGATTCCTTGAAAAAAAATGAGTTAATAAAGGTTGAAGAGATGGTGGGCCTAAACCAGATTATTAGCCAACTTAGAAATAAAGATTGTGAAAGGATTCTAGGTCATATTAAAAAATATCTTTATTACCCCTCTTTCAATGCTGATTTTCAAACTTAGGTAGTTTTGTAGGTAGGGACATTTTTTCCCCCCTCAGCTACACAAGATCAGGATAGCAAGTACAGCTACAAGAAAAAGAAGATTTGTTTATTTATTTACTTCAACATGTAAATTTAATGACAACTTCATATAATGTATTTGGAAAACCATGAATAAATGGAATTTACAAAGGTAAAAATGTTGCCAATTTATCCAATAAAGTCTTTGTTACAACATCAGTCTTATGAGGAAAACAATGTGCATCTTGTATAATGTTGTTGTATACATCATGCCAGGTATTGTCACTGTTATGTTCAAGCAAATGATTTGTGCACACAATACATTTGTTGCAGTCACATTTTGCAACAGTTGTTGCACATATAAAATAAAACAGTGTTGTATTTTAAATTCTTCAACCATTTTCAATGTACCAGCACTTCATTTTTCTTCAATTCTACTGAGAGCATAAGTTATATTTACAGTTTCTATCCAAATTTGTCATGTTATCTGGTCTAGAAAAAAAAAGAGATACCATGTCTTGAATGGTACTGGAAGTGAGAGGACTGATTAGAAAGTAGGTTAAAAACAAAATTAACAAAATCAGAACCTGCTGCCATGAACAAATAATAAAACAACAAAAAATTCAAATTTGGCAACACATTTTAAATCCACTACTTTGTGAATTTGGTCTGGCAAGGGGAAATTAAACTTTATTTTAATTTTTGCCATGGCATATATAATTTTTAAGATATTGAAAAGTTCACCAGTTATGAGATGTTTTTTAAGGTTTGATTTGTACATATTTGAACTGTCTTGAAGCAGTAGTATAGTTAGTTATAATTTTGATATGAGCTTTATTGGTCCTAATTTACATTTTTGTTGCTTGTAACAGTAGCATACCCCTTATCAGTTTTAAGAATTTTTTCATCTTCTTTTGTTGGTAGATTTCAAGATGTTAATTCGTTGGGGCTTGAATTACGTATAAATATCTTATTTTCAATTAATAATAAACAGACTTGTATTAAAGATTTTGTGAAAAAGCCTTCAGGTAAAGAAATTTTTTTACCTCTTAAAGGTGGGAAATATGTGCATGTAAAATTTAACATTTTTACTTCTGTTAAGTTCTTTAGAAAATTATTTTGTAGATTCACCCATTCCCATCTTTACTTTCTCTTTTGTTAGCTTTTTTGCTTTACTCCAACAAATAAGGTTTTCTAGTTGTGTCTTAAATTTAAACAATAGAGGATTCTTAATAAAATTAAGATATATGAAAGAAGCATTTTGATCTCAAATAAAGGTACAGACAATGGTTCTAAACTAAAGCTATTGTTCAGCAATTAATTACCCGAGAAGCGTTCTGAAATTTTAGAAATTACTGTTCTAACATTTATGTTTGTATAGGTGTAGTTCAGAAGTCTGGACATCTTTATTAACAATCTTCAAAAGTAGTTCAGTGGTTAAACCATCATTGTTAATCTGTTGATAACTGGAAACTTTTTCATTTTGTATGTTGATAATGCTAGAGTATTTATACCAGTATGTTCAATTAATAGTTTCTGTTGCATAGATTTGTAATTGTCTTAACCAATACTTTAATGAATAGCATAAAAAAAAGAAGTGTTAACAACTATTCCTCCTCTCTATTTTGGCTGTATAAAATGCAAAAGGAAAAAGAATAATAAAATCGTTTGCATTTCACTCAGTTTAAACATTTTCTTCCACCAGTTGTAAAACACATTTTGAACTGAACTCAGTAACTGTGAAAACAAAACAATTTAATGAACTTCACTATTTTTTCACATTTGTTTCTAGTAATTTGAAAACAGTATGAAACAGTATCATTTTGGGATTGAGATATACTTTTTCTCATTTCACGGTGTAATCTGGGGACCTTTATTTAATATTTATGCCAGTAGTTTGAATACTTGTAGCTAATAGGGTTTTTTATAGTGCTTCACAATTTATACCTTTTAACTTTGAGTAGACGTGAATAAGGAGTTACAAGTCCTAAGGGAACTTTAGTTATGATTTGTAATTCCAGTTATATGTGAAGGAAAATATGGCCTTAAAAGAGTATCACACTTTTGATAGAAGTTACTTGTGGTTTAATCCATCTGACATTTAAAATTTAACTTGTATCAATTTTTGGCAACCATAAGTTACTAAATTTCATAATGGACATTTATTGGTAGTCTAAAATTGGAAATTGAAATTAATTATTGTTGAGAATCTCTGTGGAAACAACTATACTTTTATATGAAAACAGATTTAACAAAATTGCAGTTAATAAGAAAATGAATACATTAAAATTACAAACATGCATACAAGTAGAAATTCTCAGATTATGAGCTGAGGAGGCTGGCTGTCATTTTTCCACCTACTATAATCAAGTTGATGTACTGTTTAATGCATTTTTAGACAAATATATTAATAAAATATAAAAACTAATAATTACACAGCACAAATGGTCAGTAAATCCCTATCACAAGTTTGAAAGTATGGCATATGAAAATTAGATAATTTGGCTCTGTCACTGAAATATACACATTCATTGCAAGTAAAACCTAAGAAAAAAAAAAAGGTTCCTGTTGGTACTCACTTTACTAATCTGATGTATTGATTTGTATATACAGATCTTTTCATGAGAAAATCCACATGTGCAAGTGAACCTGTAGCTTGCAAATTGCATGGGTGCTTAACGTGATGTTACAAAAGGGAAATAACAAGTAAACCCTTTCTCTTTAATGTTACAAATATTTGTATTAGCAGAGCTATTGATTTTATCAAAACTATAAAAAAAGAAGAAAATAACTTAACACCAGATAAATCTTATCTTCTCTCTCTCTCCCTCCTTTTGCAGTTTTGTTTCTGGTAATTTCCAATTTTCCATAACTTTGAAATATTTTCTCCTCTAGTTTATTACCTTTGCTGCCATCTTCTCCCTCTGCTTCACAAATGATAACAATGAATTGAAAATTTATTACTATGCTGCATAGTGCATTTTTAAAGGAAAAACATTTTTGCTTTCCTCAGAAGTATTTAAAATTGTAATGTGATGTGGGACTAAATATGGCCTTTCACGTATGCAACAAACAGCATGCATAATTTGATTTGAGTGTGTGCCTACATATGCGATTGCATGCGTCACACAAAATGGACTCTATATCTATATATATATAAATAATATTACTTGCTAACAATATTAAAGTATTAACACTAAATCAATTGTATATTCATACATTGTCTATGAAAGAGAATGTAATATTGATTATGTCTGGGGTTTTAGAGTTTCTGTTTAAATTTTCTTTTTATTTTTAGGATCTTTAGTTTGGTTACAAAACAGTGTTTATAATAGAAATATAGTGTTTGACAAGTTTTGGATATACAAAATTTACTGATGTAGATGATTTTGATTGATGTGTGAGACTACAAGAAACTGTGATGAAAACATTATCAGAAAATATATGACATCAGAAAACATTAATTACATTGATTTTTAGAAAACCCAATACCAACATCTGATGGCCTTTTGTGTTGCTGTTTAAATGAGTTCCAGGGAAATAAACCTGTATTTAGCAAATTTAAATAATATGGTGCATGTGTCCATGTATACTACAATGCTATGCACAACAGTATTATAAGTTTCAGTGTCTGTACCTACCTAACAAGACTTTTGGTTGAATGTTCTAAATTTGTATAAGTTGATGTGTTTCAGATTTATTATATTACATGGAATTTATTTTGTTTTTAAAGAACAAAATAACTTTAGTGGTATAAACTATTTTCAATGTTGAATCTGGTTAAAAGTCTTAACTGTAAATGAGCATTTCAATTTAGCTTTCAATATCATTTACTATCATAACAATTCTTAAGAAGCATACTTAATATAGTACGTGTATATATTTTTTCTGCAGCTGTCCATGTGTCTACCAAATAAGTCAAAAGTTTTTTGGCTCTTTCTGAGGTTATACAAATGTACCAGTCTTGCCTGAATTTTGTAGACGCACTTCTTGGTAAAGATCAGAAAAATAGTACAAGAAATGATGACAGTCATGTGACAGAAAGAGTTTATCATGAGCGTCAAGTGAAAGAGTTATGTGCCCTGCATGCCCTAAATAACTTGTTCCAAGATGGTAGTGCCTTTTCTAAGCAAATGTTAGATAATATTTGTCATAGGTAAGAATATGTTTTTTTTTAAATAGTACATTTAGTTTTTGTAAAACCAAACATTATCTCCTCTGAAAGTCTTAACTGTATTTAAAGATTTTCTTTGACAAATGCTTTTTTCTTCAAAAATGTTTATCATTTCTAACCATTAGTTATAAAATGGTAATGCTCTTACCATGTATTAAACATGCATAAAAGAAAATCAAAAACATTTATATAATAAAAGGTAAAAAAAATAATTATTAATTTAAAATACAAGTACTCTAGTACATGTAATAGAAAGAAGAGTTATAAATGTAATGAAAGTAACAAGGAAGTTATTAGATAATCAATTAATTGATGGGCCCATTAATCAATTACATGCCCTTCACTGTACAAAAAAATAAATATATAAAGTGTGTGCTGTCTTTATAACTTTTTTTCACCACTGCATTATTCTAACATGGTATTAATAATCTTCCTATTTTCATTCACATTGTTTTTTTAAAAGTAATTTTCTAATTATCCTTTGTTTAATAACATAACTCTTTTCTGTAGGACCCCATTTGGGCATTTTTGCAAAATTTTTTTGTCCAATATTTACTATCACAATAAAAGGTGAATAATGTTTGTGTCTAAAACATATCACATTGCAATTGGAAAATAATTAAGTTGGCAGTTTGTGTACATCATTTCAATAGGATAAGTATAAAAATAATATTCATTAAAGATTTGAGTCATCACAATATTTTGTATTTGCTTAACATACTCACTAAACAGTAAACTTACCTGTTATGAAGATTATTTTATTTCATCTAGTGAATATAAAAAAACAAACTTCATGTTTACAAACATTGAAACTCAAAAACCATTGTATATGTGCTGAAAAGTAAAAACACCATAATTTCAAAGAAAGCCAGACATCAAGATAGCTGTATTGAGTCTTAGCAATCTCCAGTCATTTGACTTTCTTGTTTCATACTGTATATATATTCCTGTGTCTAGATAAACTACTTGTACCTGATGATAACAAAGCCATCTTCAAACATCGGACGTGCTACTGTTAAACTTCTAATAAAGTTTTCTTTCTTACCCATCTCTAAACTGTATATGTAAGCTGTTTTTCATATCTAAGTTGTCGATGTCTTATTGAAGAAAATTCATTAGCTTTCAAACATGTATAACACACAAGTACTTTCACATTTCAAAATGAATGAAACTAAAAGCAAAACTCACAGAAACTACAAGATTAACTTGTAAACCTAGATATATATTCTGCTATTACATGATAGGTAATTTAAGCGTATTTAAGCTTTATAGTTGTTTCCAAAGCTGTTTCATTGGTAGTGATCACTTGAAGTGGCACCAGAACAAGATTTCAACTGAGACCTATACAAAACTAAGAGAAATGTGTGAAAATTAAAAAATTGATAATATAATCTCAAGGGATGGTAGGTTTTTTTTAGCAAAAATAAATTCAATCTTTAGGATGGGCAGAATTTTTTTAAATATTGAGAAGTGGGTTATTTTGTTTACAGGCAAAATTCATTGCAGTTATGCAGTAATGAGAATATGACATATTTTTCTTCATGAATTACACTAAATAAATGTCAGAAAATTAAAAAAATATCATTTGTAAAATATTTTTTGAGCTTAAAGTGTTTAAATATATTTAGAATTAACATATAAAATTGATTTCAAAATTGTCTCAAAGCATTTTATTAAGTGGTGAAAAAATATGAAAAGTCAGAGGTAATCCTGTCTTTAGACTTCAAGAATTAAGTTACTTTTTTAATCCCAAAGTTTATACATGAAGTTGTATCATACATGCAATGCAACTGCATTGTTTAACATTTAACAATAATAAGATATTTATTCACTTTGCACTCCCCTGTTGCAACAATACTGCTTATACTTTTTCATTCTTGTTCTTCCAGACAATTCAGTACTGTTTTACATGTTTATAAGTGTGTTTAAGATAATGTTGAGGCCTTAAGTGTTTTATCTATACCTATGAAGTTGTTTAAACACTTTGTAAACAATCAAGAGAAATTAATAATCATAACTGATTTTATTTATTAGGCAAATGAGTACTTAGCCAAAGTAAAAAACTAGTATGTTTGATATTCTTTAAGTAGCCTACATTTAAAGTAAAACAATGTAAACAATGTATATATATATATATACAGTATTAAATATTTGGATGTTATGAAAATGAAAATAAACATTTAAGTAACAAAATGGTATAATTGAAACAGAAGATATAATTATGTGATAGATTAAAGCAACATTTAAACTTGTAGGATCTAAATTTCTATTTTGTATAATAATTTTTTATGTAGTGCAAGATCAAATATAAGAGGCTATATAAATTCTCAATGTAGATGTACAGTTTGATTAGGGTTAAAAAAAGGTAGGATATGGGTGTGAACCAATGCAGTATGTATAAAAGAATTTTTCTACTATTTAAACAAAAAAAAATTAATAAATAATGATAGGAAGCTCAAGCATTTAAAAGATGCACAAATTATTAATTTCTGTTTGTTATCGTAACTGTAGTTTATGTTCCTGAAATACGAAAGTTGGATTTATCTTTCTTGTAGCCTTTCTCCAGATAATGTTGTCAATCCCCATAAGAGCATGTTAGGCCTTGGAAATTATGATGTAAATGTATTGATGGCTGCTTTACAAAAGAAAGGATATGAAGCAGTGTGGTTTGACAAGCGGAAGTAAGTATTCTGATTAATAAAGAACTTTGAGCTGAAAAAGTGTTCTTGAATTGACATGTTTTAATTATGGTTCATGTTTTCTGGCTTTAAATTTGGCTATTTTATAATTACTGAGATTTTACTTCTGGTTTGGCATTTTTCTTTGATCAGTATTTCAGATTTATGGGCTTCACATATTCTTGTTTATTATTTAAGGTATACAGTGGGTCTAAAGTGTACTTTAGTCATTGTTCAGAATGTGGTCAGGGTTTTATATGTTTTAATCATTATTTGAGATAGGGCTAGTTGCATAATATTTTGATTGTTTCAGTTTCTGATAATAACCATTAGGCAGTTTATTGATACTGTCACATTTTGAAGTGTTTTTGATATCCAACAACTAAGATATTTCTAAAAATAATGTAATTTTCATTTTAATACAGTATCTTCTGACCTGAGGCCCTTGATGCCTCATTAAAGTCAAGTTAGTGTTAATTACAAAAATGATTGTTACTTATCCCAACCATCAAGGCTGTTTTAAACCTGTGTTAGCTGAGAGTGCTTATGACATCACAATTAAGTACTCAATTGTTTTTATGATTCTGATCAAATCTTTTCCTTTTGTCTTTTATTTGTAAGCTAGAAATAAAGCAAATGTCAACAGATTTAGAAACAGATCAGGCCTTCAAAGGCTTTCAGGGTTCACACAGATCATGATAATTTCTGAAAGTCATCAAATTTTGTAAACTAATTTGCAGTTCTGGAAATATTGGTTTTTATCAAATGATCTTGAAAAGACCTTAAAAGCCTAATCTCATTGCTATCACATCTATTTTTACCATTATCTTTATCTAAGATTTATGAAAAACAAACTAGAAAATGTGACTCATAAAATGGGAAATACAATGAATTGCCAACACTGATCAGCACAGGTTGAACTATATACCACCATCTGTAAGCCATTATATAGGTGTCATGTGATTATTATTGGAATGGTATTGTTAGTTTAAAAATATACTCAAGACTCATTTGGTGGAAATCTAAGATCATGAAATTGTTGATAGTATATAGAATATAGACGTTTCAGAATTTTCCTTAATTCCATCTGCATAAACACTTAAAACAATAATTAACAACATTTCTAGCTTTAGTTTTTATTTAATTACTGCTTAAATTTCTTTAATGAAAAGAGATAGAGATGCAAATCCATATGGCAACAGTGTAATAGAATTAAGTGTTATAATCCTGACTGCCGTGCATAATATGATCAGGTACTTGGTCACCAATTTATACAGTGATTAATCAATGTCGAGATATTCTGAGTGACATTTTGGGCTTATTACTAAATACCTTGGGATCTGCTTTTAAGAGACAATCAGGACTATAAATACAGGAATGTGATATATGTTATTTTGTTCATTTATGTTATTAGTTTTTCCTTTGAGATCAAAAATTGATAAAATTATAAAAAATTGGTTCATGATTATACTTAATTATCATACGGTGTGATGACTGATGCACATGAAAATGCTCTTGACAGCAAATAAAATTATTCATAATAATTATTGTTTTAAAGGTTTATGCATTATCATACAAGAAAAATTGTGGGATAAACAAAACGTTGAAGTAGAAAGGTTTTCAGTTTGAAAAGTTCTTTGTTAGGTGGAATTGCAGCAGTAAACTGAGAAGGCATTTAAACATAATGGAATGCAATTATGTAGGAAACTACAAGATATACAGCTTTGTTAATGCTTGCAACTATATGAGAGTCGTCTCAGTGACAACATCAGCTTGAATCTTTACTTTTTTGGTTAGCATGGTGACATTTCATGATGTATATTCAGTAGCAAATGAGGTACAAGTTGACTTGTCCTATTGGCAACTTGAAATATGTTCAGTAACATTTTGGTTACATGATAGAGGAGGGTTTAGCTCTTTCCAAAGTACACTATTTGGGAGAAAAATGTAAGTCTTTGCCATTTTCTATTATACTGAAGTTGGGAAAAGTTGAAATATACTTAGGGGACTTAATGACTTAGAATTTGTTAGTAATTTGTTTAGGCTGTCTCTCTATCAGTCCCTCACATTTGAGGATGATTGTCTTCCATAATGATCTTAACTGTGTGTCCAGTAATTGCTGATGAGGCCAATCTGAAATTGACAGACTGTTGCAGTTTGGGTTTCCAAGTGGAATTAATGGTCCTGGATTGTTGATCTTATCCATGACATGCTATTTCTGCTGATTCCACTTTTCATCTGTTGTAATCGTATGGTTTCAGAATGTTGAGATCCTTGTAACAGACTCCTCTTCCACTTTAGATGGTCCTAGGGAATAATCTCTCAAGAGTTGATGTTGCGTTTCTTCATTTTGATCCTGAGGACCTCTTTGAAGCTCTTTTTTCTGCTCTCCTCTTTAGTTTATTCCATTAAAAGATGTTTCCATGGGAGACATCTATGCAAAATCCATCAACATTTGCATGGTTTTTGACAGAATGAGACTGTGATCCAATGGCAAAAAGACCAAGATGATTGTTTCTTAATGTAGTGCCATTTAGAATTTATTTTAAAGACTTGTTTCATAGTTGTTTTTTTTTTTGCTTGAATAAGTGTTTTAAACAGCTCAGGTGTTAGTCAAAGTATGGTAGGGAAGTGAAAATTCAGTCTAGCATGGCTGATTACTGATACTCATGGTAATTGGCTGCTAGAATACCCACAGAGTACTAACCATGAACAATGCAAATTATACAAGAAAAATAAGGGGAGATCACATTTTTTGTGTTTTACTTGCATTTTAAGGTATGTGGTATTGCTAGACTATTTTCTATAGCTTTTACCACCTTTAGAAAAGAATAATAAAACATTACTGTTTTAATTTTAGTGGAGTTTATATTTTTTTAAAATCAGTAAAATAGATGTCTTTCTTCTGTGAGCCAGTACAAACCATAGGTCTTTCAGTTTGCAACCTTATTTCCAGCAACTGTAGTTGTTGGGTAACTGCAGAAGAAAATGTTTCAGATGTCACATTAAAAATATATAACCTGAGAATTCTGAAGGAAACTGTTGACTACTGTGTTATAAAAATTTGTGGTGATTAGAGAATTTCTGGAAGTGAAAAGAATTCCCACTTCTTTGACCATATAAAGTTCTTGAAACAGGTTTTCATGAACATAAACATTTATTCAAGCAATATAAATAATTTCATTTCATTTGCAAATTATATATTATTTTCATTTACCTATTTGTGTGATTATGGCATGTCACATTATTAGCTCATACTAGCCTTTCATTTACGTCACCACATGTTAATGCTTTGAACTAAAAAAGGTTAAAGTTCACAGTTATGACTTTGTGATTACACTTTTGTTTTCAAGTTGAAGGCTTCAAATTTCCTATCTCTCATCATACATGTAGCTGACTGTTTTAAAATTCTGAATCTGAGCTTTTTTTGCCACATTACCCATTTTAATGCTAAGTACCGAAAAATTTACAACTGGAAAAAATGGAGAGTGTATGAGGTTGCTGTCATGTTTATTATGAAGAGTATCGTGTTAAATATTAATTTTCTCATACATCTCTTTTTTTACTCTGCAGTCATAGTATATTCAAAATTATCATTGCTAGTATTCAATATTTTTTCTGGATTTAATGTTACCTGTTAAAATTTCGGTGAAAGTAATGCCAGCACTTATTAATATTTCCCTTGTTTGATGTTCTATGTATAAATAGCACTGTAATATATTCAAATTATCCTGAGAATTATTTCAAAGTTTAGATTTTAATTTATTATTTGAGGAATTGTTAATTATCATGTAGTATTAAACATCATATGTTACAGTGACTATGGTAACAGCACAGTGCTGGATTTAAATAATAAAATCATGTATGTACTATAAAACAAAAATATTACATTTTCTAAGTAAAGAAGCAAGCCTTAACTATGCTGAAAATTAAAATAGCTGTTATTTCTACTTTAAAATAATTTCATTTATTGAATTAACTCTCTTAAACTTTCTTCCACCACTCATACTAACCTTTCATTACATCACTACACGAAAATTGGATTAACTCCTTTAGACTTTTCACCATTTTCATTTTCAGAGGATCACATAATTTCATTGAGGAAAGACTGGTACTACTGTCTTTTTTAGTATGTCAGTATGACCTAATGTGTTCACATTTGGGAAATGGTCTGCCTATGTGAATAGCAAAGACATGTGATCATGTATGTTTTCTTGCTTTTTTATTTCGGATTGGCTATCATGAGGCACTTGCCTCATCACCTTGTGATTACCACTTCTGAAAATGGGAATGGATATGTAATGAAAAACAAACTGATTTTTTAAGCTTTCTTGGATATGTGCTGCCAAACCAGATTATCTACATCTATGAACTCAAAGAACACCCAGCTGCTCAGAAAGAAAATTTATTGAGTAGGTAGGTTAGTAGTGTTGTGAATTGCACGCCTTTCACGGAGTAGGTAGTATATTAGGCTGTTAGAAGTGTATAACTGTTAGGTAAGGTAATTGCAATATCTAGTTACACATGATCTGTTATGGATAAGAACATTCAACAGTATCAGAAACTTGAAAGCACAGTACCAATAAATATTTTCAGGTATGCTGAAAGTAGTGTTAAATTGTGACATATTTCTTCATCAAGATGGTGAAGAAAGTATAAATAAGATTTGTGCAACAAATTCTCTGGAGCTTACTGCAGACTGCATCCAGTGCAGTTTTGTGTGAACAGACACATTCTATGAAGTCTGTGTGATACACTCTCCATGGATGGAGTGATTTGAAAGGGCTGTAATATGCAACATTCCCAGAGTACTTGATGAGTGGTTACCAATTTTGTAAAACAAGTAGGCACTACATTACACAGTTTTGAATCGATAGCTAGTAAAGGTCTATAGTAAGACAAGTAAACAATCTGATTACGAGTATATTTTGTCAATTGCGAAAAGTGTGGATATCCTGGTATAGGTTGTATTTTGCATGTGGAGGTGTGGTATTCTCAGGTTA